GCCTCCATCAGTATGCAGACCCTGTGACGGACCTGCTGGATCAGTGTGGTGTTTTCCGGGCTCGGTTATTCCGGGAATCTTGTGTATTCCATCAGGGCTGCTATGTCAAAGACTTGAGCCGCCTGGGCCGAGATCTCCACAAAACCCTCATCCTGGATAACTCTCCTGCCTCCTACATCTTCCACCCTAACAATGCTGTGAGTTTTCACTGTGTTCAGTTCACTATGATGAACTTCCATGTATCGGGAAAAAAAAAAAAGAAATAATATTGAGATCAATCATAAAAAAGATGTGGAACCTCTGTTTTGTTATGCTTATGGAGGTCTGGACAACTTCAGGCACAAAAGTTGGTTAAAAAAAAAAAAATTTGCTCCAGACCTCCAGCCTAATGGGATGGAGATCTGGTAATGTGAGATTAGCTCGTAAAAAATGATGAATCACATAATTGAAACAAATTCAAGTATTTTATAGAGTTTTAATAGTTGGCAAATTGATAAAATTAGCAGACTCGTCCCTTGATGTTTGGAGAGGCAACATTTCTTAGTGCCAAAAATATTAAAATCTCATTTTGGAAGTGTATTCTTAATTTCATCCTCATTAGGGCTGCAACGAACTAACTCAAACTAATTATTTTCAATATCTATTTATCTGCAGATTATTTTCTCAATGAATCATTTCATCTTTAAAGTGGCACAAAATAGTGAAATATACCCATTATAATTTCACAGAGCCCAAAGTGATGAAATGTGTCTCTTTGTGCGACCAAAACTGCAAAATCCAAAGCAAATCCTCACATTTGAGATACTGGAACCAGATCATTTTTAGCATTTTTGCTTGAAAAATGACTATTAAACTATTATCATGATAGTTGCTGATTAATTTTCTGCCAATTGACTAATTGTTTCAGTACAGATCCTGGTTTATAGGAATGTATTCTGCACACACAAGTCACATTAAGGGCCGGTTAAAACTGTACACCTCTTCGGTTAGATTTATATAAATTCATACACTGCTTTGGCTTGTGTCTGTGTTTTTAGTTTTTTTTTTTTTAATCGAAGGCCAACAGTGACCATTTGTTTTCTTCAGGTTCCTGTGGTGTCTTGGTTTGATGATGTGGAAGATGCTGAGCTGCTCAACCTTCTGCCTGTCTTTGAAGAACTTAGTCAAGCTGATAACGTTTACACCAGGCTGGACCAGCTTCGTGGACATTAATCTCTCAAGGGACCTGCTCAGCCCCTGTTAGAGCTCCAGCTTGAAACCTCTTCAGCTACAATAGAATCGTATATTGAGAATAGAATGCTAGAGTTTCCAGATGTTGTTCTCCTAGCCTCTGCACAAAATCCTCTGTTTTGAAAAGTGTATTAGCATGGGGTTAAGGAAATTCCAAGCTTGGAAAACACAATGTCTTTGGCGCAATCGAAACTATAGATCGGAATCTGAGGCCTTTTCTCTGAACCTCAGTGCTGACAATATTGACAACCACTATTTGAAAGTACTATGAGACAGACGGGAAACAACAACCAAAGCAGTCCCATCACAATCACTCCAGTTAGTATGAATATTAAAATGGTTCTTTTGCCAAAGCAGAAGCCTGCCTGCCCTGACTTGACTTTTGGACATTGTGTTTTTTTATTATTGTGCCTTTAAGGAACAACAAAAAAACATCAGCTCTTTTTTTAAATTTCCACCAGATTTTATACATTTATTGATTTCTTTTTATAGGTTGTTTTATAAGGAAATCTATTTTTAAATGGTGAACATGGTTCTTCTATGCAACCCAGTTCTGTAATTACATGGACCGTACCTCTTGAGTAGACAGTCAATAATTGCATTCAGCAGATGTAAACATAACTGTAGCCTTATTTACCTGTAAATGAGCAGCAAAACAAAAGTGTATTTTAGTTACTTGTATTGTAACCATAAAACATGCAAATATACATCATTAGTGGTCAGACTGATATGATACTTTTGGTTGTAAGTTAAGTAAACAGGGCGAAATCTGGTCTTTGATGGATCCGTTGAAAGCAGACACACTGGAATATGTTGGCACATAGGACCATAAACGCCACAGTTTTCAGTCAAGGTTTAATAATAGTTCATTTGTTCATATGTTTTTTCTTTTATTACTATATGACAAACAACTTGCACTTGTTTTATATTGACAGTGCTGAAAGTAAAAACTGTGCCTTTGAAATTCGGACAGAGAATGGTGTTCTGCCTGAACAGAGATTTGTAGGCCTACACACTCTGATGTGTCATGCTGAGCGTGAGAAAACACTGTCAAGAGCAAGTGTAATGCCATGTGGCTGTGGTACTTGCAGTGCAACACTTGAAAATATCAAATTTGATTTTTTTTTACATGTATGAGTGTTTTTTCTGTATTTATTGGCCAAAAACCTGTATTGTCCAGTATTTCTTAATGCTTAACATTTTGTATTGTAGTCCATTTGCCAACTTTGAGGCTGGCCTTGCGTTTGACTGTTTTATCTGTGCCTAAATAACAAACATTTTGCTGTCGAAGTTCATGGATAATTCAAAAACTTAAGCAGTTAAATCAAATCAAATAGATGTAAATCCAAGATTCAATCATGCAAGAACACATTTTTTCATTTGAAAATTCATTACAACATATATTTTGTGGGGTTATGTTTCCTGGGTAATATGGTTTTTCTATGATGTTTAATGCCTGATGCAATTATTGCCTGCATGTTGACTAGTAAAATATGACAATGAAAATTTACCAGTTGTGATGACCAAAAGTACTTGTTTAGACAGTCACAATTTGTCTTTGTGTATCAGAATAAATCAAAAACTCATTTTGTCTAACTGATTTGACCAAAACTCTAAAAGACAAGGTGCTACCAATTTTTATTTTAAAATAAAAATTGGTTATATTTTACTGTTTTGTATGTGTATTTTGTACCGTGTGTCACAAGCAAACCCCTTTCATCAATAGTCCGATAAAACTGGTTTTGCTGTATGTCCTCTTGAACAACAATTAATTATCTAATTAAATAATTTTCTGTTATACAATCAAGCCCTACTCACATTTTAGGTTTACAACATTTTAGTAAAAAATGTAAAAGAAAAAAAACATTTTTTTTATTTAGGAGTATGCCTAGCATTGCAGTACTTGCGCAAAGCATGACACTTAAGCATATCCAAACTTTGACCACTAAAAATACATTTTACGCACATTTCTAACAATCAGTGGTGGAATGTCCCAAAGTACATTTACTGAAATACTGTACTTTGAAGTACATGAGTACTTCCATTTTATTTCATAGTTACCCAACTGTTTATAAAGTTCTTTAACACAATAATTATCATATATTATATTATTATATATATAATTAAATATGACAAGGACAATTTGGTACAATGATTACTTTTATTTTTGATACATGTCATTGCAAATACTTTAGTACTAAACTAATATTTTGAATATAAGACTTGTTATGGGTTATGTTTACATTGCAGTATTCCATTTCAAGTAAAAGGCCTGCATTAAAAAAGCTTGCATACTAAAATTACAGCATTGTCAACAAAATGTACTAGTATCAATATAAAAAGTACTCATTCAGCAGAAAAATGGCTGATTTGATGGTTGCTGTATTACACACATATGTTAATGATGCACTTTGAATAAGCTCTTTACAGATTTCACATCTCTACATAGTGTTGATCTGTAAACCCCCAATCTCATGAAAACACTTCTGAATATAATTACATACATAAAAAAAAATATTTTCTTAAAACAAGTGGGAAAAGGGAGTACTTAATGAGTTTTACTTTAAATGTTTTGTTTTTCTAAATGCTCTAAAAAGTGCCTGTAGATTGAAACAAAACAGATGTTGCTGCACAAGAATTATGCTCTGATTTTTTTTCACTTTTATCAAATAAAAAAAGACATATGGAGTCAATTAAAGACCAAGATGACTTGAAGGAGATTTACACTGTCAAATAAAAAGTTTCCAAATAAAAAGTAGTGAAGTAAGCACAGCATTTGCATCTGAATTGAAAGGAAGTAGAAGTACAAAGCAGAATGAAATTGAAACACTGAAGTAAAGTACAAATGCCTCAAAAGCTAGTTACTTTCCATCAATGAAATTTGCATCATCCCTGCATTTATTTCTGTTTTATCAGAAACGTATCACGGTTTTTATCACGTCTTTGAAATGTATGTTCCTTTCCAACTGAAACTTAGAAACCTGCGTATTTGCTGAAACACTTGATGGTGCAGCTAAATTTATGAGTCGGCCATTTTAGGTGTACCGGGGACATTATTCGGTGACACCAGGAAGTACATTTGCATATAAACCATAGATTGTATATAAAACGACACGCAATGGTTTCCTATACAGAATAACAAATTTGGTTTTAAGGCAAAGTAATTATGAAACAGGCGGTTTTTTATTTAAGCTCATTAGTAACGTGGAGAATCACCGTATTTTCGATTTCACCTTAGGGAACAGGGACTTTTCAATACGCTGAAGTTAGCTTCAGATTCGTGTCTTCAGCATCGAGAGTAACAAGAATGTTTTTGATCCACGTATTGTTGTGAAATTGTGTAATTCACATCGTAGTTAAAAATTAATTACTGTGGAAAAAAAGCAATCTCTTTTTATCATCTGGACAACAATGCACTAGGTTTAGCTTTTAAAAAAAGAAAAAAAGATTTGCACTTGTCAAACCTGGACAAACAAGTAGGCCTCAATAACTTTAAAGCACACGATTCAAATTTGTAAAACCATTATCCTATTATTGAACACACAAAACCACACCATCAGACAAAACTAACAAGATTTGTCAAATGTGAACAACAGTAACCCAGAGAAGCTAAACACACTTTTCAGATTTTACTTGTGAAAACACAAAAAACAGCTAGCTAAAGAGCTAACAACTGTCTGAGTTGTAAAATAATTAAAAACAAACAAATGAACAAAAAAAAACGAATCTGAAGCCAACTTCCGTGTCGTCATTTTCTGGGCGTTTCCATGGTGACGTCAGCAGGTCGTTGTGAACTGACTGACACGTACGGTTTTATTAACAAAAAATAAATAAAAAAGTCAGAGTCAAACAGCTCGGAGCAGTGGAGAGGCAAGAGGTTTGTAAATGATTTTAACGTATTGTGCTTATGCCCTCGGTGCATCGTATTAATAGTGACTAACGTTATCTGCCGAAAAAAGAGCTAGACGTCGAATTGTGTTGACAGTCGAGAGGACTTTAGCTAGCAAGGCCGCTAGTTATTTAAGGCTAACTGGCGAGCAACGTTAGCCATTAGTATGATAGTTTGATGCATCAAACAGTCTTTGGCTCTACGACTGTGGCTCGATTGGTTGGCCCTGTTTCCAATAATAGGTTTATTTGTGAGTTAAAAGAACATGGTTTGATTTTGCTGCCAGCTAACAGTTATAACGCGTAAAACGAAACGATAGCTTGTAATCAAGAGGCTTGTTAGCTTGCCAAACACGATTATGTGCTAGTTAACTCAACGCCTGACATTTAGATAACCTGTTGTGTAACTTCGCTAATGTTTCCAGCCTCATCTAACTAAACTACACACGTTAAGTCACAACATAAAGCGTATCATTCGTGGTGGAAGCAGTATTCAGACTATTTACTTCGTTTATGTAAATGTTAGCATCTTTTATAAACTGATCATGTATTTTATATGTCAAATCTCAGCTACCTACCTACCTACAGCTGTTACATAAATGTAGTCGTGTAAAAAGATAATGGTCAGTGTCCTCTGAAATGTCGAAGTATAAAGTAGTATAGTATACGAAGTATAAAGTTGTATAAGATGGACGTTCTCATCTTAAATAAATGTAGTATTTCCGCAATACCAAGACTCCTATTTAAATTCTTCCATTCAAGATGCTACTTAAGTGTAAGTACAGAAATAATATCAACAAAATAAAATAAAGAATTGCTAATTATGTAGCAAGACCCCTATGATATTGGATCGTTGATGTGTAATATGTACTGTTGCGTAGTTAAATCTGTCGCAGTGGATCATATTGTATAAATAAATTGATCATGTGTTTTGTTTGTAAAAGTTTAATTTGAAAAGTAGCTTTAGCTGAAAAATATGTTGGGAACATGTTGTAGATTAAACCATGCAGTATTTCCCTGTGAAATGTTGAGTAGAAACACAAAGTAGTAATAAAATGGACATACAAGTAAAGAACCTCAATTGTGTTAGTAAATGTAGTTGTTTTCCACTACTGCTCGTTAATAAATCATCTCTGAACACAGTTATAGTTGTAGAATTTAATTTCATTCTGTCTGTTAAAGTGGAGTTGAAGTGTAATCATGTGCATTCCTGTTCAGCAAAGACATTAGCTGAACAAAAATCTCTTCAGATCTCACTTCCTGGTGCCACCATGAATGTGTTCGACCGCAACATCAACTTTGATGCTCTCTTCAAGTTCTCCCAAATGTACGTAAGCATGCATTAGACTGCTATCTGATGTATGTCAGTCCTTATCTTATCGTCCTTTATCTGCTTTAACTCAGGTTTTCATCTCTAATGCATTGTTCACTTTGTGTGCAGATCTCACTCAACTCAGGTGCACTTGAAGAATGTGTACTCCAGCCTGGCAGTTTGTATGTTCGTGGCTGCAGCTGGCTCCTATGTCCATGTTGTTACACGCCTCTTTCAGGTAACACTAACAAGATACAACAGAGTGTTGATGCAAGGACACATAATATATATATATATGTATGAGCATATACTATATTGTCTTGTTGCACCAATATATGTTAATGGGATGTAGTAAAAGCCATCATAATGTGATACACAAATGGTTCCCTTACAGAAAGTACATACTTTACCTTACCTAACATAATTTGTATGTTAAGTTTAGTTACAGAGTTACAGAGTTATCACATCAGAAAAATTATGCCATACTGGGAACTTTGTAGATAATTTAAAGTTGAAGCCCAGCTGTATTCAAGTCCAAGTTTGTTCAGCATAGTTAGGTCTGTAACTTGAATCACAATGACTGTAAGATGTTAAGATAAGACTGAACTTCATTCACCCTGAAGGATTTTTCTGTTTAATCTTATCTTCTGACCCTGATGCTTCAGCAATATTCAAACTGTTACTGCTTTTTTTACTCCTTTTAAAGAGGAAATGAGAACAATTCTGAAATTGGGAAGTATATTTGAAACTGTCAAATAATTCAGTGGTCAAGGTTGGGTTTTAGCATTATTCAACACAACAAATGTTTAGTATCTTAGCCACAATGTTGCTGCCTTTATGTTTACCTTGTGCTCTTGTTCTCAGGGCGGTGTTCTGTCTGTGCTCGGCTCCCTGGGGATGATGTTCTGGCTGGCCATGACACCACACAACTCTGAGACAGAGAGGAAGAGACTGGCTATCCTCGCAGGATTTGCCTTCCTCACAGGTAAACTGATGACTTTGTGGCTAGAGTTGTCATGATTATTCAATTAATCAATCATTCCTTTGACATAATTTTGATAAGCACTTAATTGTTTAATAATTTAAGTAACTTTTAAATGGAAAATGCCACAATAATTGCTGTGTTTAGTCCCTCAAATAGGAAGATTTCCTCTTTTCTCAGTTTAATATAAGTGCACTGACTATCTTTAAGTTTTTGGCTTTTTGGCCATAGTCCAGTGACACAACCTCAAATATCTGTGAGTGAGCCAGTTTTCATTTTTAGACAAACCTTAGGTACTTTCCATTGAAGACAGTCACCAGTAGTCCCCTGCATCGCTCTGTGTGTCTACTCTGTTCAGTCAGTGGCAGAGAGGCAGAGCAACAGTTTGTTAGGCGGATGGAGGCTGCGCGCTGTTGTGAGAGAGAAAATAAGAAAGATACTCTGTTGCTTCTAACTTTCTGTTGGTAGGTAGGTAGGTAGGAAGGTTGGTAGGTAGGTAGGTAGGTAGTTAGGTTGGTTACTATATTTGTACACATACACAGAGTGAGAAAGTTAGACGCGACAGTCCAGTTGTTTTGATTTAGTCTTGATGATTGTTGGTCAGACAAAACAGACATTTGAAGATATCATCTTGGGCTGTAGGAAACTGGGATTGACATTGTCATCTTACATTTTTTAGACAAAACAATGAATCGGTTAATCAGCAGATTAATCAATTTTAGTTTAAGGTCATGTAAGAGTCTAAAAGCAGTGTTTGCCTTCCTCTCTCCCTGTTCAGGTGTTGGTCTTGGCCCCACACTGGACTTTGTCATCGCGGTGAATCCGAGGTATGCGAAAGTTTACTCAGTGCACATAAGTATCTAACAGCTGAATATAAAGGAAACATAACCATCTTTAAACAGTGTGATCTTGAAACTAAACAACAAATGTGAATAGTGTAATGTGATGAGTACAGCCACCTGACTGTTTTCTGACTTTGTTTCTCCTCAGCATCATTGTGACGGCTTTCATGGGAACCTCTGCGATTTTCATTTGCTTCACTCTCAGCGCCCTCTATGCCAAGCGAAGGAGCTACCTGTTCCTTGGAGGTAAAGGCAGTTTTTCATTGTGACCCATGACTGTAACAATCATCCTCTCATTCAATATCCTGTAAATTAAACCCATTTTTTGTCCATCAGAGAAATGCCATTTCACATTAGCTTATCAATCTAATTTTACAGCATTATGTTGAATTTCTTCTCCTCCAGAAAAACATAGTGCATTTTAACGTATTAAGTTATTTTTCTCCTCAGGCACACTGATGTCTGGCCTTTCCCTTCTATTCCTGATGTCTGTGATGAACATGTTCTTTGGATCTCTGATGCTGTTTAAGGTACTTCCCTTAATATCCCTCACTAAAAGTTTGATCAGCTGTGTGTCACATTGCGGTGTAAATTATATGGTTTTTTGTATGTCTTTATCTCTTCTGACAGGCACACATGTACCTCGGGCTGTTCATCATGTGCGGCTTTGTACTGTTTGACACTCAGCTCATCATTGAGAAAGCAGAGAACGGCGACAAGGACTATGTCTGGTGAGGATTTATCCACCTGGGCCCTTATTTATTTGCTCATAACCAAATACCATACAAATACATGATCCCATAGTGAGGTGTGGAACTGAGCATCAGTTCCTACAAAAGACTCATTCAAATACATTGTTCTTTTTCAAAAGGGTTACATAACTTCAACCCTAAGATGACAATTGGTAAACTTTGACAGCCTTTATTGTAGAGATACTGAATGATGTATGGTAGTGTTTTTTTCTTTGAAAGAATACATAAAGATTATGAAACAAATTCAATATAATTTTTTTTTATTTGAAGGCACTGTGTGGACCTGTTCCTCGATTTCATCACCATCTTCAGGAAACTGATGGTCATCCTTGCCTTGAACGATAAGGTACTAAGCATAATGCATAATTCTTCTTTTTTAAAAGTTAAAGTCTGGTCATATTCTATATTTTTTTTTATTGTCAACAAATCCCATGAAAGGAGGAAAGTAAGTATTACGTGTGTATCCAAAGCTGGATACATCTCCTTCTCTACTCCTCTGCCACAGAGCTGCACTGTTTTTCCAAAAAGTATTGACAAGATGAGGTTAAAACATAATATATGGCTGCACTGCGTATGGTTAAAAATGCAAAACTCAGGATGTAGTTGAAAACAGTTGTGGAACCACTGTAAACAACTATTTTAAATGGAGAGGTGGAGTAGTCCCCAGATGATGAAATATGCCAATTAGCATATTCATGATATCATCTTTCTGTATTTGTATTCTGCTGTCAGCTGGTTTCAGCCCTTTATCTGTTTGCTTCTCTCCTTCTCTCTGAACCCAAACACAGTATTTTAATTTTCTAATTTACATGTTTTTCTGTTTCTGTTGTCAGACAACTGAACAAATATGAAATAATGACTGAAACATGGCCTATTAAAACTACATATTAACCAGCAGTCACTTCCAAGACCATTTCCAAGTTGCTGCCCTTCTGCTGCTAAAATCCTGATTTTGTAACGGCAACATTGTCTGATTTTTTCACCATAACACTGTCAAAATCACCAAACACACAAGTTAAAGACAATGGCTATGCTGTGATTTCAGCTATATTGACTTGTAAATGATGCAATAATAGAAATTCTTGGCGCCAAATCATTTTGAAAGACCAATGGCCAGAGGGAAAAGTCCAGCATAAGGCTGGTCAACCAATTGTTTAACCTTATCACTCAGCCAGTCACACAGTCAGTCATGGACATTTGCATTTGTCAGACTGGCCTCTCTTGCTGTCCAACCAAAAACCCATCAGTGGGCCTAACTTTTGCACTGGTTGACATGTTCCTTCTTTATGATGAAGACGGACAGTGTAGCCTACTTTGAGTCAATCCCACATACACCCAGCTGCTGCCCCAAATACTCACTTCCACAACAGATGTTTATAAATCCATTGCTGAAAATAGTTCCCAACAAATGCAGAGTGTACTGCTGTTTAAGTAAGGTTTGCTAAAAAGTACAGTGTCCAGCTGTATTAGGAAGTTATTCAGGCTTTTAAAAAAATGAAACTATATTGGTTGACATATTTTTAAAGATTAACATCTTCAGCAGGAACAGATGGGCTTTGGGCTGAGAGCCACAGACGGGCTGGGGGAGTTGGAAAGTATTGAGAGACAAACTACTGCATTGTTGGTTTTTGTATTTTCATGGGATTTGTTGACAACAACAAAAGTACAGAATATTGCTACACCTATCTTTTAATGCCTCTCACTATGTTATTTTTTCTCTCAACAATACTACAGAGTAAATATTATTATGGTTGGCTCCGCCAAATCACAAAAAACAGCACATTTTCTTATTTAGCCCTAGTAGAATCTAGCCATGTAGACACTTCTGGTTTTCTTTGCTGAAGTTTTGAGATAACTGACACTTTGCCACCACTCCAATACAGTGGCAGCAGGAGAAATTTAGTTTGTGGTGCACGTAACAATTTCAAAGCAAATAACATTTGGATTAGTCAATAGAAAGATATCTTTTCAGAAACACTGCTCTGTTTGTTTAAAATGTGATGTGTCACTGAATTGTATTCAGTGATGGAAAGTTATATAGTACATTTACTCAAGTATTGTACTCAAGTACAATTCTGAGGTAGTGTACCTTATTTATACTATTATCTGTATTTGATAGATATAGTTATTAGTTATTTTTCAGATGAAGATTTTACATAAAAATCATATAGTAAGTTTGTGCATTGTATTTCATGAAACAACAGCATCTTGTGGATCCTTGTCGTGTTTGAGTTGTTAGTAGTTCCAACAAAAATATTTACTCTCTAATGTTTAATGTCTAAGGTTTAATTTAATGAATGTTGAGCACTAACAAGGTAAAAGTGTCACAAAAAGCAAATTGTAGAGAAAATTTGTTAGGTAGAATTTTATTTTCTTCTTTCCTCTCCAGTTAAGATTCCGTTCATCATCTCATAACCCCTCAGATTTATCTCGTGACCCTTTGGATGGGCCTGACACCTAGATTGGAAACCATTTGAAAAAACTGACTATTTGTATAATAAGTAATTAAAACTACCTCAGTAAAATGCTGTTTACACACTGATGCATCAGTATTAACATTATACTAATGTTATATATAATGATATATCGGTCAGAACAAGTTCTGATCTCTTTGGTATTTTCAGTACATTTTGCTGATATTTGAGTATTTTTACCTTAGTAATACTAATTAGTAATGGAGTATTTTCACATTGATGTATTGATACTTTTACTCAAGTAAAGGATTTTTCCCACCACTGACTTTTGGAGTGATGACATAGCTTTCAGAGTGGACATCTAAAAATTGTCAGCACATACTGTTTAACTAAATCTGTCTGCATGGCTCGATACCATCAGAGTAAAGTGATATGAACTTTAAACTGCTATGAGTGATATGGTCTGTGTGTTTTTAATTGTGATCGTAATTTTTTTTTCAGGAGAAGAAGAAGGAAAAGAAGTAAAGAACGTTTGAGAAGCTGGAAAACAACAATCTGTCAGAAAAGGCACAATTTGCAGCGCACTTGGTGCTTTTTACTTTCTGTCTTCATTTCTTGAATTAACTCCTATGTGGTCTTATATTATTGAAATTCCTTTGATTTATTTTTCAAACTTACAACCAGGGTTGAATGCAAGTTTATGGTACACTAATGCTAGTCCAATCTTGGCTGTGAATGGAAAATAGACTAAAGCTGCAGTGATCAGTCTTGGCCTGTAGATGGAAGCGTTGCTTTATGAAGGCTTAGCAGGTGAGCAGCACTTAATGACGATTTTTATATTACTGTTATTTAGTGCCATGAATTAATTACATAATAGGCTCCTTTTAGTGGGTCGTGAGCTTCTGAGAATGATCGTTGTTTCATTTGAAGTTATGTAAAATTTTTCGTTGATTTGCTTATTTATAGGTTTCCTCTGTACTTTTCTTTAGTGGAGTGTCACAAGATTTGATGTCCCATCATTCTGACAACAGTTCCCTCTTTCGAAAATTTCCTACTTAATTGTTTGGGTTTTTTTTTTTTTTTTTCGACAAATTTTGTTTTGTGAAAAAATTTGAGTGAGAATGATAAAATCTGGTAATGCTGACAAACTATGACAGCCTGTCAGGCTCATGATTTACAGTAACTCCTTCAAATGGACTCTCAGCCACTTGGTGGTCTGGATTTTGGATTTTGGCTGGTGGAGGAATCGGTGCCATCTGTCCATATTTTCAACTTGAAGCAAAAACGGGCAAGTTCACACCACTCCCCTTGTAAATTTCTCCAAATATCTGTTGTCTAGAAATTAGTTTGCCAAATGATGTGACGTTAACCTTACAATTTGACATTGGTATGTTTTTTTTTTTGTTTTTTTGAAAGTGTATACTGTGAAGAATTTATTTTATTGATGTAAAATTGAAACTAATAATTTGATACATTTGCTCAAATAAATGTGTTGAACGTATTGAAAGAAAGTATCGTGCGTCTCTGCATACTTTATTCATGTTTACTTCTGTAAACAGTGGTAGTGGAAGTTGAGTCCTTAAGTAGAACTAGTAATACCTTTTTTAAAATGCTCAATTACAAGTAACTTGTGAGTATAAAATGTTTAGAGATGCCACAATTAGATTAATTGATTAGTCAATCGTCAGAAATGGAAACTATTTTGATGATACATCATTCAGCCATTCATTTTTTGGTTCAAGGATCTGAAATGTGCTGATTGACTGCTTTTCTTCGTCACATCACTGTAAATTTAATATTTTTAAGCTTTGATCTGACAAAAAAGCATTTTGTTAGATTTCATAAGCTAAATGGTAAATTGAAAACAATTGTTTGATTAATTGTTAGGTGCAGCCTTAAAAATGTAAGTAAAAGCACTTTAGTGATATTAATCGCAAAATGTGCTCAAGAGCATCAAAAGAAAAACTACCAAACCCTGAGTGTCATACTATTATTGGATGATTATTACTAATGTATTAATATGTAATTCACATGCTAATATCGTAGTTGAAGCTAATTTCAACAATTTTCTTTACATGTTTTGTACGTAAGATCTTAGCCGTCAGATGTAGTGAAGTAAAAAGTAGAATATTTCCCTCTGAAACATAGTGAAGCAGAAAATAGAAATACTCAAGTAAAATGAAGGTACATTAAAATTTGCACTTGAGTAAATGTACTTTCCATAGCTGCCTGTAGATTATGCTGTAATGATCCTGTAAAAATGACAGAACTAAATCAAAACATTTTAATTAGAAAGTTGAAAAACGGCAGTAGGTACATAGGACCTCTATTTGCTAGGGAACAAACAGCAACAGAGATGTTGAAGTACAAGATATGAACATAATCTACTAAGCGAGAGGAGACCGCAATTTTCACAGAAAGATTACAAAAAAAAGATGAATGCAAATGATGTACATTTAAAATAAATAAATAATAGAAATACATATTCATTGAATAGTGTAGCCATTTCTCTTATCTATGTTATTATTGCTGGTATATATTACCTTTAAATGTATTATGATTTCAAACAGACATATTCTGACAACCTTCCTTGGTCGCAAAACGATATCAACATGATCAATAAAATCGTTTATACATTTAAAATTGTGATGCATGAGTTTAGCAATTAAGAATCACAGACATGAACATTCAATTTTTTTAAGGAGCTCCATGTTTTTTTCCCCAATACATTATGTGATGAAATGATGTCAAGAACAGAACTGATACAGTACAGTATGTCAGCTATTGAACTGGTCAGCGCTTCATCGCTTTCTTGATGTACAACAAAGATCTGTCTACCAGGATGAGAAAAACAAAAAGACAAGTAGCTGAACAACTACCATGAGTGACAACGTCTTGTGCTAATCATTAGCTTGGCCATGCGTCTTGTAGTCCTGTATACATGAGTTAAAGAGAAGTGTCCACAGTCAAGTCTGACTGTGAAAAAGTGAACAACCTATATTACTTGGGTGGCTTTTGGCTTCATGTTTATTGGAAATCCTGAGGAGAAGTCTATCGATCCAACTTTCCAGTTGCAACAGAAAAACAGCTGATGAGACATCACCAGATTAATCTTTGCGGACATCAACAGGGCACAGTTTCTTTTCCTCAAAGGCGGCGGCGGGTCAGCAGCATCACAGTACAGCAAGCAACCGGGAGATGTGTTCAGAGCGGGGCTGGGTCTTATTGTCTGTGGACTAGATGAATATTTGTCTCTCCAGTCCTCCCTGTCCTCCCCCATCCTTGGCTGGATCATCCTTGGCTGCCGCAAGATGACAGACTGTCATACAGAGAATCGCTGAGAGACTCGGGAGTCTCCAGGACCTGAGGGCGGCTCGGGGAGAGAGCTTCCTCCGGCCGCTCCCTGAGCAGCTCCAGCCCGGCCTCCCGGCTCATCTCAGGGACGCTGGGAGTGCGGGTCTTTCCCCTGCGGCTCATTCCTGACTGGGAAGGGACGGGCAGGCTGCCTGGGTCAACCACCCGGCTGGAAGAGGGACCGCCTGCCTTCATGCTCTGGGAGGACGCAGAGGGGTAGGAAACAATTTAGGTCGTGTGTTTCATCTTATGTAACGCCTTCAGGTGCAAAAAGACACAAAAGTAGGTTACAGAAATCATCCAACTGTGATTCTTTTAATATTCAGCTGATTAATAATTTCTAAAGGAAGAATGTGGTTCTGTGTTTTTTACATTATGTAAGATGTGAGTGCAGATTTAAAAATGTATCTCTACTTTAGTGCCTGTGTAAGTATTTTCAGTCTGTTAGTGACCCAGATAATTCCTTTTCACATGCTCCTGCCCAGCATTTTTTAAAGACAAAGGATCCATAAAACTCATTAATTTGGTTAGAAAAAAGGTTTTAAGTTGAGTAATGCTTTATTTTTACAGGTTTCAGGTAATTACCTGAAAACATTTCTCAGAATTTTCTAGAAATTAGTTGATGATTTGCTGTAAATTACAAAGATATGTCTGAGAAAAGACAGGTAGGTACCAATTACAAGGGAAAGTGTTAGTTGCTTGTTTTATTTAAGGTCTGAAGAAAAAACAAGGAAACTATGTGTTGGTAATTAAAAATAGTTCATAAACAGAACTAAATATTTGCTGGTAAGGTAGAAAATGTGTCACACAGAGTCACTTTATTTTACAGGTTTCGTCTGTGGTAAAAATATGTTCATAATTATACCTGCTGAGTCTGTTCAATTTTATAGCATGGATTGTGTTTTATTTGTTCATGATAATTGCATTCCAATGCAGCTAAAAACAACGACAGATAAGGATGCATTCAACCAATTGTGTGTCAATTAAATTAATATTTACAGATTACCAAGTGGAACAATAATGTGTGGCAGCTCAAAGTGAAGAAGAATCCACATTAAGAAAAATACAATGAGCAGCTCCTTAGTAACTGTCATAACTAACTCTTCTTCCATTTCCCTTACAATCAGTACCAGACTGCGTTTATGTTTTTATAGTATAAATACCAGGTAATTTTTAGGAAATCATGAGAAAAGGCGACATGTGGGTACGCATCATTTGCTTCCTTCTCCAAGTTACAAAACCTTTTTACAACTTTAAGTTCGTCTTAAGCTACAGAATAGACTCATTATAATTATCTTTAATTGAAATAGATGAAGCTTGAATCTCACTGAAAGTAAAACAAGCTGCCATCCCTACCCCTCTGAACGGTGATCCAAAGGATACCGCCTCCTCCTCTTCCTCCTCCACTGCCAGGTACACCTCTGCAGGTCCTGCTGGAGTCTTCAGGTTGGGGAAGGTCCAAGTCTTGGAGCGAGGAGAAAACATGTTTGCTCCATGGGCCTCTTTGTCTGTAGATGGAGAGATTAAAGATAAATTTACATCTATTTTCCCCACAGAGGGATTTTCTTGTTTGGGTTATAACTTTTGACTATGACTATTCATGGACTCCTGCATCACTTTGGTCCAGACTGAAATATTCCAACATTAAATGGATAGATTATCATTGAACTTTATGTTGATATCTGTGGTTTTCACTGAAAGATTTAACTATTGGATGGATTAACATACAATTTGGTTCAGACATTCATTCATTGCAGAAAATGGATGGATGGAACTAATGAAAAATGATTAAGATTACTGCCTACAACATGCAAGTAAAAATATTTTAAGACTTTTATAAATCAAATTAAATAAATCAAAGTCTTTTTTTTAACCTTCTAAGGCCTTTTATTTTTGAGGAAACTGAATTCAAACCTGCAGATACCCTGTCTCTTTAAAGTTTAAAGTACTAGACCTAAGTGACAGCGTTGTGAACGACCTGATCTCTTCAAGCTGTAATTACGTGTAAGTGGGACAGTTTATTGGCACCTTCGCGGATTACGCCGGCTGAGCTTCTTCCCTCCAGCATGGAGCCGTACTGAATGGTGGGAATCAGCTGTTTGTGTGGCACGTAGCACTCCTCCTGCGATGTCAGCTCTCTGTCCAGGGTGCGGGCCCGTCGCCCAGCCCTTCCTGGGGAACCAGAAGAGTGGTGCTCGGCCCCGGCCCTCGTCTTGGAGAGACCCCGTCCTGCTGCACCGCTGCTACAGTCGGGCAGGGGGAATGTTCCAATGCCGCTGTCCAAGGTGTATGTGGAAG